AGCGAAATTCTTTTTAATGTGTACTAACACTAAAACCAAATGCTTGAATGACTACTAAAAAGTGTGTTTACACAGGTTTTTTTTTTCGATTTTAGTGGGAGTAGGAGAGCCACTTGCTCCAGTAAATAGGACTGCTTTCTATTCGCTGGACGGGAATCATAGCTAAACCTGGCGCTAAATTTTAGTACTAGAATACTTGTCTATACACAACAAGTACTAAAATCCAGTACTGGATTCTAGTGACTTGAACAAGTTACTGGCACCGTGTAACGTCGCCTTTAGGGTGTAGAGGTTCGATAAGAAGGGATTTTTCGAAACTCGAATTCTAAAGGGGTGAAACCACCCCTCAAATATTAGAATATTTTTTATTTATAAACCGGTGAGTTTTTCGGAAAATCTCTTAAACACGTATATTTTATTTTAATGTTTTACATATTTTAGATTTTAGATTTAGATTTTTTAAAAATTTATACAGGGTGTTTCATAAAATATGACTATTGAATAATCACGATTCTGCTTAAACTGCCATGCTTTGCTTTATCATCACCATGACAAATGATTAATTCGACGCGAACAAAGTCGCGGGTACACGCTAGTCACTTTATATATTTCTAAATTTTATTACATTTGTAATAATAGTTCTATAGAAATAAATAAATAATATATTTTGCAGCATTTATAAAAAAACCAAAATAACTAATCTAAACACGGTGTGTCTAGCTTATACCGGGTGCGTCTCAAAAGTGCTTCACCCCTATAACTTTTATTACTTATTTTTATTATTTATAACTTATTTTTTTAGTTAAAAAACGAAATTTGGTATGTTAGTATATAACATAAATTAGGATTGATTGACGTATTTAATTGTTTTCGGTCACTTCCGATTTAACCGGAAATGACTACAACTTTTGATTTTTAAATGACACCTCCGGCATTTTTTTACTTTATTGGATAGAAAATGTCACTCTGAATAGAATGACACATCATATGTCAACTTTTGACATTTTCGTATATGGTTCATTTGAAATTATAACTTGCGGTTAGTAACAAAAATTTGACCTGAAATACCAAGTGTGTGGTATCAAATTATTCGTAAAAAAAGGTTTTTCCAAATATGCTAATGAGTCACCCTCGTTCCATTTGAAAAAATTGAGTTATAATTAAAAATGCGATTTGAAAATTTTTTAACTGGCCAGGACAAGCCACTAAAAACATTACACGATCAAATCTATTTTTCCAAGGCTCCTTAATGAAGAATTAGTGTTTTTAATATAGCCATGGCACTCTAAGATTGAATTTTAAAACACAATTTTTTATTAAGCGAGAATGTCAAAAGTTGACATATGATATGTCATTCTATTCAGAATGCCATTTTGTATCGAATAAAGTAAAAAAATACCGAGGATGCCATTTAAAAATCAAAAGTTGTAGTCATTTCCGGTGAAACAGGAAGTGACCAAAAACAACTGAATACACCAATCAGTCCTAATTTATGTCATATACTAAAATGCCAAATTTCGTTTTTTTATCTGAAAAAATAAAAAAGTTATAGGGGTGAGCCACTTTTGAGACGCACCCGGTATACAGAATTTCTTAAATTATTTATTATAAGAGCTACGCCGGTACTCCCGTTGAACACTGTATGTCAAAAAAAAATACTTGCTAAGTACACGAGTCGTAAGAGTCCGCCTTAAATCCTAAAATATAAGAAAAATCACCTTTTTTGGTGATTAGAATTAATTTATACTTAGTTAATTATAAATACTGTAATCGGAAATTGTACTTGGGTTATCAAAATTTAATGTCAAACTAGTTAAAATATAAAGTAATTTATCTTGGCTTTTTTTAACGGGAACATCTTGTATATGTAGTATATCTAGTTAGCAGATATTTATAATAATATTATTACATGAGTATGATCGAAAAAAAAGGCGTCAGCGAAGGCTATGAAATGAAAATCGGTATCATTTTATATGCAAATTCATATGAGAAATGTGATCGATCGTCATTTCCCAGCCAACTAGACGCCGTTTTTTTATCATACAGTATATTACGGCTCTTTCCGCAGTAACATTCAAGACAAAATGTCATTAGTAGGTAAATTTGAAAAAAAAGTTATTTTAAAATTTCAAGAAAGAACCAAACCCGTTAAAAATTTCAAAACGCATTAAATAAAAAAAAATATTTTATAATTCTACCTTAAAAATTAAAACGATATACAGGGGTAGAATTAAAAAAAATCACACTCAGTCACGCACACTTTACTCATTTTGAAGTAGTTCAAAACAAAATATGGCTCATTTTTGGCATTTTTACCACATTTTTTTACAAGAATAATATAAGAATCTCTAAAATTGGTATAAATTTATATATTTTTTTCAGGTGCAATTGTTGAAATTTTAAATGGCACTTCATTCATCGCTATGAGATCGATAGCATCTAAACTAGTACCTTCGGACGAATTGGGTAAGTAATTATAGGTCATAGCCTGAAATAATTTCTTAAAAGTTAAAATATCGGTTAAAATTAGAATTAGACCATATTATACAGGGTCCGGCAATAGTGCGTCGGGCATCTGTAGCTCCTAGAATAAAAACCTTAAGAATTTTGTTTAAGTGCAAATCTAAAGTCTAGGATGTATTCCAGGAAAATATTTTAACTTCTATAGGGTGGCTCAAAAAAGTGTGAGCGGATCGGAATGTATTTTTTTTAAATGGAACACCCTGTTTATTATTGCATTTTGGGCTTCTTTTCAGATCACTTTACATAATCCTAAGATACCAGTAAATATATTCCCATAGTTTCAGAGATATTAATAAATAAATAAAAAATGTATATTTTCCAGCGTTTCTTTAAAAAATTATTAAAAATACAAAAAATGTCCTGAAATCAAAACCATATTAGATATTTACTTTAGATGGTCTGTACTTACTTTGCTACAAATATGGTAATCGTATATCATACAGTATGTTCAAAATTTTACGCCAAACTTTCTAAAATATAAAATAAATTTTCTTCGCTTTTTTAAATGGAACACACACCCTGTATATTATTTTTTCAATAGATGGAGAATTAAAAAATGAATATTTTTTGTATTTAGAGTATTTCAAAAATTTTAACGGTTTTGCAAATATTCTCGACTTTACCCAAGTAGCATCTATCTGACTTCGAACTAAATCTGACCTGAAGCGACGTCAGACTTTGTGCAAATTTAGGTCGGGTGCTGGTGATACGACTGGTGACGTCGCTTTCCTATTAAAAGCGACGTCGTTGGATCCGAGTCGGTAAATCCAACGATCTGTCGACGTACAAAATACAACGTACCATTTTTATTAATTTCCCAACGTCGTTCCAACGTTGGCTTGCACGACGTACCTATACTTGAACTAGCCCGACGTCTACCCGTTGTCCGAATAGGATACGTCTCATTGATAATCCCTAAAGTAACGTCCAATTATATTTTGTTGTATTTTATGTTCATATTTTTAACCTAATTTACGTATCTCTATTTACGTCCGTAAATACAACCCATTAAGTAGCATTTGCGGCCTAATAAACATCATGAACATAACCTAATAAAAAGTTTTTGTAAACAAACTTAATTTTTATTATTATGCCTAAAAAACACTAAAAAGGCATTTAGACATTCATCTACATTTTACAGAAAGAGGTCGAGGCTTTTGCAAAATAATAATACTAGTAGTGATGTCTTCCCTCCACCCACGAATGCTTTTTATCCGGAAGAGATGATGCATTACACTGGTGCATCTTAATTTCATTTTTTAGCTTAGGCAACCAGCAGACCCCATCCCCCTCCTACATGTGAGGTACTGGTTCCAATTCTTTTAAATTTTGTATATACTATCTTAAAAAAGTGGCTGCCCATTCTTTTAAAGAGAAAACCAAAACTAAAATATAGTTGCACAAATCCACAAATTTCTGATACGCAAAGTGAGGTTACGTAGCGTACGTTGGAATTATATACGTCATAATACGATTGCCGGTCGTCCGGTTTGATGACTTCGGTCGTGTGAGACGACTAATGTTGGAGACCCGGTCGGAATTGGTATATTGGTAGTTCATATTAAGTCGGACACAGAAATCCGCCATTCTTAACAGGTATCCGATTGTCAGCCATTTTAAAATCGTTTTTTGTTTGTAAAATTTATATTCACATTCCAATTTCTAGTAGAATAATATTGATAAGGTTGAGTTTGGGGGGAACCACAGTACAGTTTTATGATTAAACCAGCTAGAAAATAAAAAAAATATTTTGCGAGTTACTTTTTTATAGATATTTTTATTTCATAAATCCACCTACTTTTGAAGGCACTCCTTGTTTTCCGGAGTATTTTAATCAGATATATCAAAAAAGTGACTTCCGTTGACAAAACTGATGTCTGGATTAATGATTCAGAATTATTATAATATGAAATTAGGTAGGCACTTATAGTTCTGTTCGAGGAGTGATTATGAATCTATTTGTAATTAGGTAGTTTGGTTAGGTTTTTATGTATTCTTGGTAGCGAATATGAAACCAAACGTAACGTAAGTGCTTAGCGACGAATTTTAAGTGACTAAAATCCAACGTAATATGACGTTGGTAATTGGTAGAATTACATTCCCTATTAGGTCAGATACCGACGTCGAGGCGACCCGAATCTGTATTCCCCAGGGTGCAAATAAGGGTCGTCAGGCGGTCGAACTGACGTTGGTACCCGACGTCGAGTTTATTGAACGCGACGTATACCCGACGTTAGATAACGTCCAAATGCTACTTGGGTATATTTTGATATGGCATTTTTCATAGTAAAATTCTATCCAAGCCACCCAATGATTTTTCTCTCGTATTTTACCGTTGAGAGAGCATTATAAAATAATACTGCCTGTATATACGAAACCATTAAACATTTTGAAATACGTTAAATACAAAAAATGTTTTAATTTTTAATTCTTCATCTACCAAAAAAATAATATACAGGGCGTTCCATTTAAAAAAAGCAAAGAAGAATTATTTTCTTAAGTTCGGCGTAGAATTTTGAACATCCTGTATGATTTAACATTACGATATTTATAGCAAAATTAAGTATAGACCATTTAAAGTATATACCTAATATAGTTTTGATTTCAAGACAATTCTTGTATTTGTAATATCTTTTTTTAATGAATGTTGAAAAATATTATTCTTTTATTTATTTATTAATATCTCTAAAACTAACGAAATGTATTTATTCATATCTTAGGATTATGTAAAGTGATCTGAAAGGAAGCCAAAAGTGCAATAATATATACAGGGTGTTCCATTTAAAAAAAATCATCCCGATCCACTCACTTTTTTGAGCCACCCTATACAAGTTAAAATATTTTCCTGTAATACATCCTTGTACATACTTTAGGTTTACACTAAAACAAAATTTCCAAGTTTTTTATTCTAGGAGCGCCAGATGCCCGACGCACTATTGCCGGACCCTGTATACAAAATAAATTTTGAATTCAACGTAAATTTTTTTCTAAATACACCGTATGATCTAAAAGTTTATAATCAAGCGGGGTTTGACTTTGACAACAAATTGAATGTAATTAAACACAGAACTGGTTTTCATATACAGCACACTATTTGATAAAACTTTTTGATCATTTTGTACTTTTACGCCATATCAACAATAAGTAAGTTGCCATGTGGTGTATAATGTGTATATGTATAATATGATTAAGATAATATTTCTAATATGTTATTTAAGTATAATGTCTTATTTTAGGAAAATTGAATTCTCTATTTGGTGCCTGCGAAGCCTTAATGCCATTAGTTTATGGACCTATGTACAGTGCAACATACGCAGCTACCATCCAGTCCATGCCTGGAGCCTTCTTCATATTGGGTGGCATTCTAACAACACCGGCAGTTGTTATATTTGGGTAAGAATCTCAGTAAATATTGTGTTATTTTAGTATACCGGATGCGTCTCAAAAGTGGCTCACACCTATATTTTTTTTATTTTTTGACATAAATTAGGATTAATTGACGTATTCAATTTTTTTCGGTCTCTTCCTGTTTTATATGGATGGCACCCTCGCTATTTTTTTACTTTATTTAATAGAAATAAATGACACTCTGAATAGAATGACATACATATATGTCAACTTTTGATATTTTCGCTTAAAACAAAATTGTATTTTAAATTTCAATCTAGAGTGCCATGGCTGTGTTAAAAACACTAATTTATAATCAAGGAGCCTTGGAAAAATAGATATGACCGTCTAATGGTTTTAGTGTCTTATCCTGGCCGGTTAAAAGATGCCCAAATTCTTTTTTTATTCATATCTCAATGTTTTCAAATGGAACGAGGGTGGCTCATTAGCATATTTGGAAAAGCATTTTTTACGAATAATTTGGTACCACACACTTGGTATTTCGAGTCAAATTATCGTTCTGAACTGCATGTTACAATTTTAAATAAACCATAATGTGAAAACGTCAAAAGTTGACATATGATATCATTCTATTCAGAGTGTCATTTTCTATCGATTACAGTAAAAAATACCGAAAGTGCCATTTAAATATCCGGTGAAATCATTTCCGGTGAAACAGGAAGTGACCAAAAACAATTGAATACGTCAACCAATCCTAATTTATGTCATGTACTAACGTACAAAATCTCATTTTTTTATCTGAAAAAATAAAAAATTATAGGGGTGAGCCACTTTTGAGACGCCTTCTTAAAACGAAATATTGTCTATCGCCCTCAAACATCCTCGTAAATCTGCTTATTTATGATTTAATATTTATTTCAGATGGTTCTATCTTCAGCATAGAAAAGACGCCAAACTTGCTGCTGGTAAACCAGATGAAGAAATCGTATCCAAATTGGACCATTCCATTCCAGACGTGGCAGTTTACAGCATAGCACCCATCGAAGTCCAAGTTGGATCACCCATTCTGAATGGTTTTAGGAAAACCATGGACAAGCATACAGAAAATGGCGGGGTCGTCAATATGGCCTACGAAAATGAAAATTCAAAACATTGAGTTCAATAACTGTGATTTAGAAAAAAAAAACATCTAAGTTTTGTTTAAAGAAAATCAGTTTTTTTTCAAACGTCACAGAAGTATTAATTTTTGCGACGTGATTGACAATACAAAAACGTCATTTTAACGCCTAGGCATAAAAGTGAAGCACTTTTACGCCTAAGCACAAAAGTACGAAAATATATTATTAAACTGACACAAAGTGTCAAATTGAACGAGCTTAACCATAGTTTCTCGATATATAATTACTTACAAGGTCTTAATTTTGCATATTTTTATATAATTTGCAACGTTGTTTTGTTTAAAAAATTATTTGTGACGTTTGAAAGCATGTTCTATTCGGAGTAAAAATGACTTTTTGTGTCTCGCCTGTAAAATCAAACGTTCGCCACAAAAATTGTCATTTTTACTCCTAATAAAACAATATACTATTTTTTCCATAGCAACTATTAAAATTGCCTTATATCTATCAAAAATAGTAGATAAAATAGTACTTTGACCGCAAGGGTAAATCAATTTTAAATAATTCATTACCTGATTAAATGATACTTTAACAGCAAGGATAGGTTAAAAACTTGGTAATAGTTGCATATACGGTTTTCGGCTATTTTTGTATTATATGGAAAAAAAATTATATACTCACATTCTATTGATCTTATAGATTGTAAATATGCTGGGGGAGAAGAGAACTTGTGTTTCTTTAAGTATTTTTTCAACCAAACAAACTTACGGGACCGGGGAGCGAATAGGGGTGCTGGGCGGGGTATAAGCGTACAAACTGGGTAAAATATGACATACAAATATAGAAAAATTAGTTATGAAAACTTTAACACTTGATTTGACATGACACCGACAAAAGGGAAAGCAATGTTGCCAGTGCCATTGAATTTTCTTTAAAATTTTTATATCTATTGCAAAAATCAAACTAAATTAAATAAAACAAACATTGAAAAATATAATAATAATATTCTATAAATTGAAGTGTCTATTCTAATGCTGTTAAGGCAAACATAAAGAGCTTGAGTTGAGGAAAAATGCAATTTTGGTAAAATAAGAAAAATAACAAAGAATCAAACCAAACAAGACCAACCCAATCTAAACCAAACCAACTAAAACAATACCAACTAAAACCAAACCAACCAAAACGCTCAGTGTGTTTTCATTGCTAGAGCTATAACTAAGAAATTCTCTATACCGCTGGCGCTGGTGGCGATTTAGCCAATATGTTAAAGTAAGTAAAAATATAAATAAAAACATTTTAGAACCTATGACGTCATTTTTCCCTTTTTTTACTAGCTGATTTGGCAACTATGCATCAATTCACAATGTTTGTCAAAATTCAACCTTCACTACTGTCAGCATATCCTTCAATGTAACCTGCCATAGATTTTTGAATAAAACAGTTCTTCATATATTTTTTGAAGAAATTTTACATTAAAAGCTTAATTAAAGGATTGTAAAATGGTTGTGTTATGAGTATCTTTAATCAGAATATTGTTTTTACCCCGCCCAGCACCCCTATTCGCTCCCCGGTCCCGTAAGTTTGTCTGGTTGAAAAAATACTTTTGGTATACGTTTGGTTGAAACACAATTTCTCTTCTCCCCCAGCATATTTGCAATCTCTAAGGACATTAAAATGTGAGTATCTAAAAATTTTCTTATATAATCCAAAAATAGCCGAAAACCATATATGCAACAATTACCAAAAACTTTATTTCTTCTCTTGTATTCCTTTTCATAAGATATTCCGGATTTAAATGGATGCAGTTTGGATATGGCGTTTGTCGCGTCAGCCTGAATATCTGTTGGTAATTTACTTATTTCGTTTTCTCGAAAGAGAATTAAAAAATATTGACTCAAAACTGACAACTAAAGAGACAGCTTTATTTATTTGTCAAATTACATAGAAACCAACGCCAACCCAGCACAATATTTTTTCTACTCGTAATAAATTCCTTGAAATAATAATTTCTGAATATTTTTTAAATCGTAACTCGCTATGGAAAAAAATATTGTTTTATACACGACGAAAAAATTGCATTATCGTCGACCGAAGAGATTAATTCACGAGAAATGAAATCGCGAGTGAATTAATTTCGGGAGTTTTTAATTCGTTAATAGTTATTTTTTATACAAGACGACAAAATACCATTTTATCGTCTTGTATAAAAAATAACTATTAACGAATTTAAGAAAGGTCGGAAATAATAGGATAAGTGAAAGAAATTGGCAGGGTATTGAATTTATTTTCACATTTTTTTATTAAATTATTTTTTAGAAACGGATTATGTGAATGTTACAATAATTTTTTACGAATATAAAAAAGCGTCTTATAAGAAACTAACGAAAATAGATTCATCATATTTCATAGATCATATTTTACAGTGCCAAAATGAATGTGGCATCCAGTCAAAAATAACACAACTACTTAACATTTTGACCAAAAAGAACTGAAATTCGACGCACCTTTATTGCAATATTTTGTTTACTGTTTCTTGGGTTGCATAATCTTAAAAGTTTAAATAAATTAACTCTTAAAATCAAATATTATATAAATAATTTATTTGTTAATCTATGATATTTAAATTTATTTTTTATAAAAAATAATAATCACAATGTTAATGAATCAAAATGATTAATTAACGTTTTGTTACAGAAAAAACCATTTGAAAAAATGAGAAAAATAAGTTGTATATAATTATTGTTCTAAAGGTAATTATTAATACTGTTTTACCATTAGATTTAATTAGATTTATTTATATGACGCCCGTGGTGTTCTAAATATAATGTGATAATAGAAGTATTATAATTGTAAATAAAATTATTTTATTTTACTTTATGGTTTTATTTCCTTCTTTATAAACTAAACACCATACGATCGAAAAAAAAACGGTGTCAATGATGGCTGGGAAATTACAATCGATGATAAATTTGGCGAGGTGAAGCCCTAGACTCTATACTCTGTTTTTTTTCTCAGGTAAGATTTCGACAGACGATGACAGAAGAAAAGCAGATGACGTCCCATACCAATCTATTTATTTTACTAAAAAAAAGTTTCTAATAATTTTTAAGTTAACTATGGATGGGTTTAAATATAAATTCGTGATGCATCGTCACTTGTTGTTTTTAACCAGTTTTATTGGTTTATTTCAAAAATGACAGATCGTATTTCAATTTTATTGGTTTGACGGAACGATGAACGACAAACGGACGCCGATGCGTATGAACTGTTTTTAGATTTTTGACGTTTGTCAAAAGTCTTCTAAGCAAATTATAACGGTTATAATTTAATTTTGTGACAACATTTGTCAAATACCCTGAATAATATATAAATTGAATATATAAAATTGTAATATTAATAACATTTATTTATATATTTACATTAGAATTAAAATTATCATTTACAGATTTTTCTTGATGCGTTTTAATTCGTGTTATTGTGAGTGTTTTGTGTCTTTTGAAGTCAAGCGGAGGAAAAAATCGGCGAGGAAAATTAACTGTAGAACCCAGAGCACAGTTTATGGTATTAATAATTGATGCCCAGGCAGAAAGTCTTATACAGATACACACCCCAATAAAGTTACTATCAATGAGGGCCATACTAAACACATACTAAAACTGGGATTATAAGCTGTATAAATTTCGACTTCACACGATAGGTAAATAATGGATTCTAGTACCGCAGAAAATAATGTCAAAAGGTACTGGTTTAAAAAAAACTTAAGTTAATTAATCAACCTGTAGAGGTATATAATTTTAAGGTAAGTGTTATTATTAATAAAATAGTTTTGATTTATTTATGTTGTTTTATTTATTCCTGCGGAATATTACAAATTTGTATTTGTACATAAGTTTATATTGATAAATATAATCATAAATGAGGAAGTTTCATAAAGCTTGAAAGTAAGAAATAGTTCTTTTTTATATTTTTTGGTATGTCTTAATCTGTAATACTATATTATGCTTTGTCTGGAAAATAAATGTTAAATATCTTAATTTTGCATATCCTATTCCAATCGCTACATTAGGAAAATATGGTTTATAAATCATATTTTGCTAAAGAAAAGGAAGAATCACATAAATTAGGTGTATTAACACATACCGTTTTTTATTAAATAAAATAACTCGATTACATTTTTTCAGTTTTATACAGTTTTTTTCACAATATTTTGAAGTTACTTCAAATTTTAAATACATATATTAATTTCCTGCTATGCGTTCCAGTTGTACCAACTTATTTCTTTGTAAAATAAAGTAAACTACTTTGAAATTAAAATGACAGACACATCTATCACTGTCAAGGATCTTCTCGTTGGACAGACTATAGACGTCATTTACTTAGCCTTTAATCTTTTTTTATTTTTTAATGGCACTTACTGCCAAAAGGTTGTGATTTTCTTATATTTAGTGAAATGATTTTTAAATGGTGTAGTTTAAAATTATTTTTTTTAAATATAGTCTTTTTTTATCTTTCTATAAGTAGCGTTAATTTTTCATAAGTTTTATGTCAATTTTTAGTAAATGACGTCAAGAAATTGACCTCGTTAAAATTATCATCGATTGTCATTTCTCAACCGTCTTTGATGCTGTTTTTTTTTCGATATACGGGTGTGTCTCAAAAGTAGCTCACCCCTATAACTTTTTTATTTTTTCAGATAAAACAACGAGATTTGGTATGTTAGTATATGACATAAATTAAGATTGATTAACATATTCAATTGTTTTCTGTCACTTGACACAACTTTTGATTTTTAAGTGGCACCCTCGGTATTTTTTTACTTTATTCGATAGAAATGACACTTTTAGTAGAATGACATATCATATGTCAACTTTTGACATTTTCGCATAATATGTTTTATTTAAAATTGTAACATGCGGTTCATAACGACAATTTAACACGAAATACCAAGTCAATACGAAGACACTAAAACATTAGACGATGAAATTTATTTTTCCAAGGCTCCTTGATTAAAAATTAGTGTTTTGAACACAGTCATGGCACTCTAGATTGAAATTTAAAATACAATTTGCTTTTGAGCGTATATGTCAAAAGTTGACATATGATATCATGTCATATCGTGTCATACGCATATGGAGTTTATCACTGGAATATTTTTCATAAAAAACATATTGCGCCACTGATTTTTTCTTTTGATATCAAAACTGTGGCAGGCTGTTTAATGCCAATTAAAGTTATCTCTCGATATTTTTGTCAGATAAGAAACAAACAAACCTCCGATGAAATAAACAAAAATTTTATTAATCAGAATTATATATAATATGTATGATATCATGTCTGTGACAGCGCTTTCACATGCGACGGAGCGTCCGCGACATCGAGCAAGTACCATAGTTTATATGAACAGTTTCACATGGACGCGTATGCTCCGTCCGGATGATTTCATGATTCTAGAAAGATATTTTGCATATCAGTGGCGGATACAGAGGTGGGCCCAAGGGGCCCGGCCACCAGGGCTGGCGGAAGGGAAATATTGAAACCGGGCGAATACCCTACCTGGCCCCAATAGTTAACATGTTAACTCAACAACTTCAAGTATATTTATGCTATTTAACAATAAAATTTCACGTAAAGGTACTTCGAAATTCTTCCTCTTCGTTCAATCTTAGTCCGGTGGTTGTTGTTTTTCTATACCGGTGCATCTTTGAAAGTGACCCACCCTCTATAACTCTCTTTAATTCTTTTAAGATAAAAACACGGGAATTTGGTATGTTAAGTATACTTGACATAAATTAGATTGATTGATCGTATTTAAATGTTTTGGTCACTTTCTGTTTCAACGAGCAAGTACCATAGTTTATATGAACAGTTTCACATGGACGCGTATGCTCCGTCCGGATGATTTCATGATTCTAGAAAGATATTTTGCATATCAGTGGCGGATACAGAGGAATTCGGGCCCAAGAGGCCCCGACCACCAGGTCCGGCGAAGGGAAATATTGAAACCGAGGAGCGGAAATACCCTACCTGGCCCCAATAGTTAATATGTTAACACAACAGCTAGAATATATTTATGCTACTTTAAATAAAATTTCACGTAAAGGTACTTCAAATTCTTCTCTTCGTTCAATCTTAGTCCCGCAGTTGTTTTTCTATACCAGGGTACATCTTGAAGTGACTCACCCTATAACTCTTTTTAATTTTAGATAAAAAACAGAAATTTGGTGTATTGGTATATGACGTAAATTAGGATTGATTGACGTATTAATTGTTTTTGGTCACTTTCTGTTTCAACGAAAAACTATTGATTTTTAAATGGAACCGACGG